AGAGGAGAGACCCCAGTAAGATCCACGCACGCATGCTTCCCTTCTATCCATCCAAAGACCAAAATGTCAGTCAGTCTAAGTGTGGACCTTCCATCCCGCGGGTCCGTCAAAATGATCACTGGCGCTTCTTTCTTCACAGAAATACCAGCACGCCGACAAGCATCAAAGAAAACATCCCGAACCACATCATGTCTATAGGTTTTTGGAGTTTTTTTTTTCGCTGGTGTATAAACAAGATACTTGACGATGATGAAGATGGTGGCATGCGACCGAAGAAGTGGGAGATAAGGGGGTGGGGATGCAGGTTTGTTTTGGATATTGGTATTAGGATGAACACGATTTTGAAGATGCAACAATATACAGTTATGTTCTTGATTTTTTGGGACAAACAAACAACTGAGGTGGGGGATTTCATAGGAAAAGATGAAATGTCGGCATTTTTGGTGGGATTATTAGAAAGAGAGAGATAATATATTTAATTGTTTTTAAATAACCAAAAACATCATAAATGGTCCTTATGGCAGTGAAATGACCAAAATGTCCTTCACTTAACATACAAAACTTAACGGCGTTATCAATAAGGATCAATCGTCAAAAGTTTTGAAAGCACAGGGACCATATATGATGTTTTTAAATCACGGGGACTAAACTTCAGATCTGGAGAAACCACAGGGACCATTTATGATGTTTTTCTAAATATTATAAATATATAACTTATCCAAAATACAATGGTGATTCTTGTTTCTCAAGATTTAAGTCACGTCACCAAAATTACACATCTAATTCTAATTTCTTTCACTAATTTTTATTAATAGTCAATACTTTGAATACGATTACAAATATATATTATTTAATAATACGCCTATATTTAATAAAATATTTTAAGATGTTGAAAACATATAAATACAAATGTGTTTTGAATAACTTTCAACATGTTTAACTTGTGTAAGTAATTTGACTAATTCATCTTTAACCAATTTTTTCAATGTTTCAATTTTAATTTGACTCATTATACAGGGAGAATTTTATATATACTCTTATTAAACGTTAAAATATCATATTTGCCCAATTTAATTTCAAAATATCATATTTATCCTTATTAAGCTTTTAAAATATCAAATTTACCCGAATCATTTTTTAAATCATTTTTTATATTTAAAAATCATTATTATTAAAAAAAACTAAATGGACAATATTGTCCTTTATCTTCTAAATTGCAGGAGTTGGATATATATCATATACGCATAAGGACATGTTAATCCCTTTCGTCGTCTTCCATTTGTGCGCGCCATCTTCCTTTCCACTGTGAGCATTAAGAATGTAAGCTTGCACTAACAATGGACTGGAGTCTCCATTAATTAAAGAATTATTATTAACCTTGGTAACTATCAACTCCTGCC